TTGCATGCCCACAGAAAGGGCCCTGCATGCCAGCTGTGGCACGCGAGCCATAGGTTCGCCATCGCTGATCTAGACTGTGACAGGACCTTGGCCAATCTGCATGATAACAGGGGAAATAAGGTGATTGGCTAGAGGGTGCAGGTGGCCAGCCTATCCGGGAGAGCCCGAAGGAGGAGGAGGAGCCTGGAGAGCCGAAATGGAAGGAGAAGAAAGAGTATAACCGAAGGAGGAGGAGGTTGTTTTGGGGCAGTTGGGCTATAACTGAAGAAAAGCTCCTGTTGAAACTGGTTTCCCTAGAAGCTGTTACTTTGTAATAAAGAGAATACTACTTTTCATTCTTTAACTGCCTGGTCTAGTATGGTCAACGGTGGGAGTCAAGTCCTTCATAGGAAGGTTATTTTAAAAAGTGACGTCTGGGTAGGGGCCGGTCACAGTGACACACAGAGAATGAAGGCAAACCTGTCACTGCCCAAGGCCCAGCCATGAAACAGGATCTGAATCTACTGGACTGTTTCGGCGACTCATAACTACTCTTTCACATCTAGAAACGAGAACATGAAGTACTTAAAACCTCCCAAAGTATCTGAACCCACAATGAAGCTCAACGTTACCTAATATGAGGGTGACTGTGACTGCGTATAGTTTCATCTTCCAGACTTTTCCCTGTGTGTAACTGAGTCGACAGATCGTGTGTCTTCCATTCACATTCTAGATGGTGCAGCTGAAAATATTCGACAAGACAGGCAGGTTTCACTGAAGATTACTATACACCATAATTCCACTGGCCAAAAATTATGTCCCTATTCTGATAGATTAAAACTCCAAACTCCAATTCTAGTTGTGGCACATCTTCAACAAGTTAGCAAGGTGTGACAAGTAACAGTCATGACAGTAAATGGAACCTCCAAATACAGAAGAAGTATACCTCTGAATACTAGAACATGAAGACAAAGAAGGGTCAATGCCACTGCACCCTGCTTGTTGGTTTCCCAGAAACACCTGACTGGTCATCCTTGCAAGCAGAATGCTGAACTTCAAGAGATCCTTGCTCTGCTCTTATGTCCTATAACTGGCAAAGCAGGGGACAGCGCAAGCTGTCAAGATGATCTATAGTTTTAAGTCCTTTATTTGTATACCAGAATATCTGGGTGGGGTCATCAGGGTGTGTGGAGCCTTGTGACATCAGTATGCGGATGACAGCTCTACATTTCCTTTTCACCAACTGAAGGAGATGCCATTCTGTCCCTTCAGTGCTGCCTGGAGGCCGTACTGGAATGGATGCAGGAGAACGGGCTGAGGCTGAACCCGGACAAGACGGAAGTACTGAGGATGGGCGCCCCTACAGTTGGGGATTTGGGAAACTCCCTCTCTTTTGGGGGGGGTGACCCTGCCCACCAAGGATGGGGTCTGCAGCTTGGGGATCCATCTGGACCCGGCGCTCACTATGGAAACTCAGGTGGCGTCAGTGGTCCGTACCGCCTTTTTTCATCTTAGGCGGATAGCCCAGCTGCGGTCCTACCTTGATGTTGGGGCACTCACTACCTTGGTACATGCGCTCGTAATCTCAAGATTAGACCACTGTAATGCGCTCTACGTGGGGCTACCTTTGAGGCTGCTGCGGAAACTACAGGTGGTACAGCTTTCTTATTCTGTTTAGTATTTTTGTTGTGTAAAATTGTTTTATATGTATATTTATTGTATTATTTTTCTGTTGTTAGCCGCCTAGAGTGGTCCTGACACGACCAGATAGGCGGGATATTAAATAAATAAATAAATAAATAAATAAATAAAT